TTTTTCCGGTTGGGCTTTTAGGGCCTCGGAGGAGTTGAGTCTGGTCCCAATCGCTTCACAATCGGCTCCGATCTGCTCAAGTGCATGCTGAAGTTCATGCCCTGAAGATGAGAGCATTACTATATCATCTGCAAAAAGCAAAATAAATAAATAAATAAATAAATAAATACATCAGACCATGTGATTCCCAATCCCAACACCTTCCGCTCCACTACCAAAGTCCCATACTTCATCCGAAGTTCCAAAATCAGCTCTCATTTTGCGTAGACCAAAATTGCGCCATTTTTCTCACTGAACTAGCTCTCTTCAAGGTGTCTTCTGATTGGTCAGAAGTTTGTTGCCGTGCGCTCAGACAGATATGTCAATATTTCTCTTTGACCAATCCGCTACCGCTCTCCGGTTTTTGTATCTAGAAATGAATACTTTTTGAGGAACTGAACTGACGAAACTGAGGAATTATTTGTACAACTCTTCACTAAATAGCTGTTATATTAATAAGGCTTTCAAACGATTAATAACTCCTGGATGGAAATTGTAACATTGACTATTAAATGAAGTACATCTGGGCTTTTAGTCTGGAGACCCAATCCATGATGGGCAGTATTTTTCATCTTTTGTCTGTCGTCAAAAGAATCATCTGAATAAACATCCCTCACACAGTTTTCACCTGCCGCTTGTTTTGTTTTTTTCTTTGTATCTTTTGTTTTTCTCTTCTTTTTTTTTTTGGTAATTACAGAAGGTAACAGTTGTCATCGTTTTCCTCCACCATATTCCCCTCCCAGAGAGCTTTGTGTTTAATTCTCAGATCCGAGTGTTTTCATGGGCTCTCCCTTAACAAGTCGACCTCCCTTAATTGTTCTCTACGTCTGACATGTGTTGATGCGTCTCAGACTGCCATCCTCGTATTAGTCAGAGCTGAGAAAATGAACCGTGCTTCCGTGGCTGTGTAAAAGCGTGTGTGTTTGTTCGCTCAGGGGGAATGCCAGCTTTGACTTGCCGCTAATTACCCAGCATGCTCTCTGTTCTGTGGTTAATTGTCCAGGTCCTCGTTTTCTCTCGATGGGACGTAGCGTTGGAGGGCGGGAGGGGTGAGAAAAAACATGTCCTGTCTTCTTCTTCTTTTTCTTCTTCTTCTTCTTCTCTGCCCGTCTTCCAGTGCGCAGCCTTCTATCTCCATCTTCCTTCCTTTATGTCACTTGTTGCTCGGCGGGGATGCAAATTAAACCATCGGCTGCGGTTACAGGACAAGCCGGCGGACGAAAACTCGCACAAATTTGTGCCGCCCGTGCGTGGGTGCTTACCTCCAAGTCACGGCGTAAATGTTTGTCGGTGTGTGATTTAGGTTTTTGTTTGTTCGGAGTATTTGTGTGCATAAAGAATTAGACGCGATGACAGCGAGGGGAGCCGTAGCTGGGAGGTAGGGGTGGCGGGGTCTCTGTCAGCTTTCTCTAATTATGTGTGGCATTTCCATACTGGACCACTGTCAAAAAAAAAAAAAAAAATTAAATAAATAAACAGATGCACAAAACACACACACGCATAAATACACAATCCAGCCCTTGCCTAATGATACAGAGCTGTGATTGTTGGCTGCCTGCTATGATAGAACCCCTCCATTGCCGTCCGCAACATAAATCAATGTCAATTACCTCCCCAGAGCACATTAGACACTTTCCATTCCTGCTCATAATTAGTGCGGACCGTAGACATATTCCCATCCCACACAGGCTCGCCGAGCGCCGTCTGCACACAAACAACAAAGCCTTGGACTGAAACGATTTCGCTGGGCGAGTTCAAATGCATACCGGCACATCAAAAATCGCATGCATTGTGTCGCGCAGAACGCGAGCGGCTCACCGGCTCGCTCGCCGCACATTAGGAGGATTGTAATTAATTAGCGCCGGCCTTGCCATCACAGAGTGCTTCAATGGCTGTGAAAATGAGTTCAAGCAGACACAAGCTGCTTGACCTTGGGAAAAGTGGGCGCGCGTTTTGTTGTGCGCACACCCCGCGCGTATGTGCATCCTTGCGTTTGGCAGCTTATATACATTTTTCATGCATAATAAAAAAGGGTGAAGGGAGTGGGAGGGTGACACGAAGAGCGCGGTATTTTTAGACAATAACATCATATTTCCTTTACATGCCGTCTCCCCGTGCTCCCCATGCCTCCGTCTGTCGGGTGTGTTTTTGTTCCTCCTTTCTCCCCTTTTCTCTCGTGCAACACACCTGACAGGTAACGGGGAGAAGAACGGGGGAAGGAGGGCAACCCGGGGGGACAGCAATCCAACAATCAGTGGTATAAAATGCAGAAAGAGTGGGAGAAGGGGGACCAGCACCAGCGGACTGAATAATTGATAGAGAGAGTGGAGCAGTGCTCCCAAAACAAATCTTCATGCTCGGAGCCCATTACCTGTTTTTAGCGGAGGGGGAAAAAAGACACACGCACTCTCTGTTTTGTTAACAGCAGTGATTAAAGGCATCAAAATGATAGGGGGGAGCGGAGGGGCTCAAAGCACAGATAAGCTCTGTTTTCCTTCTTCTCAAAGGACAGCCAATAGTCTGAATGCTAGTGACAGTGGGCTGCATTAGAAAAAGGACAGCCCTGACACACATTCAGGCAGACATGAGTCACAAGCCCTGGACTGGAGGCGGAGAAGAGTGACAAATCCAGTTGATGGAGAGGAAAAAGAGACTCGGAGCCTCATAACTCACTCTAGTTATGAGAATATCTTCACCAAGACTGAGTCAAGAAGTTTAGGGTTCAGTTTCTTCTGTTTCCCACAGAGCAAGTAAACTAAGGGGGAAAAAAAAAGAAACACATTTTCTCTGTTTTCTGCCGCTTACAGTAGAAATAGTGACATGTACAGTAGTAGCAGAGGCACAATCAGGGCATTTTTACATGATTAAATCCATAATATGAAACTAAAATTCAACTCCTAAATTTTGATTTCTGAACTCTTCCTGAGTTAAACCATTAGTATTGTTGTTTCTAAATGAATATTAACTTTTTTTTTTTTTTTGCATTATTCGAGTTCTGAAAGCTCTGCATCTTTTTCCTGATTTTAACCATTTTTTATTTTCTGCAAATAAATACAAAATTTTTGCTTAGAATTTTGGATGTTGTCAGTAGTTCATAGAATAAAAGAATTAAGTTCATTTTACTCAAATATATTCTTATAGAGAGTAAAATCTGAAATCTGATCATTTTTTTTCCAGAGCTGTCTATGTATATCTGGGTTTTATCATCTGCACCCTCATTGAGCTTAGCTGTTTAATAAAATATATATATATATATATATATATATATATATATATATATATATATATTTTTTTTTTTTTTTCTATTGTGTGCTTGGAAAAAATATATATCTACAGTTTATGGAATGTATTTTTTTTCTGATCCGATCAATTTTGGTTGCCTCTAAAAATCTAAATGTTTTTCATCTTTTGCAGTAATGCTTACAATGAAGGAGACCATACTGGCTCCCGTCCCAACCTTGACCATGTATGTGTAATTTTTATGAATTCAGTTTCAGATTTATTTTGGTAAATTTACAACAATGCAAAAAAATAAATAAATAAATAAATAAAAAAAATAACAAATAAAACCCTATTTCACAAACTGAAAATTGACCACAAAAGTAATAGACTGAAAACAGGACTTGTACTTTCCTACCCTACTCACAGACTCAGCAATCTACAAAAATAAAAGACGTCTTTTGCCACATACACACATAAGCACACATACCATGGAATATTTGGATTTCCCACAAGATGAATAAATGCATCAAGACATCATTTTATTGAAGATTTTGTGTCAAGATGATTATATATATATATATATTTAGAAGCTAAAGAGGGCACCGAATAAAAACATGTTTACTCTTGGAGGCATGTAAAAGTTTTAGGCGCGCCCAGTAACGGAGATAACGCTGACTCTCTGAAGTAAACCAAAAATGACTCATTAGCTCTGACAATATTGTTCTTTGCCTTTCAAGCAAGGAAACTCGATGCAGTGTTTTCCCTTTCGCAGCCCTCATCCCCAAGGTCAGAGGAAACTCAGAGGGTTTGATGAAAAACGCATATTCTCACGATCCCAAGGGGGGACAAGCAAGACAAGACAACTTCCTCAAACACTGTGAGGCAAAGTCCCTTTTTACTCCGTCTCTGAGGCAGGGAGGTGACCTTTCCTCCTGTGATATGTCACACTCACCTGAGGGCTCTGTTCTGTCATACCGGTCTGTGTGTGTGTGTGTGTGTGTGTGTGTGTGTGTGTGTGTGTGTGTGTGTGTGTGTGTGTGCGTGTGTGTGTGTGTGTGTGTGTGTGTGTGTGCGGGATGGTGGGAGGGGGCCCACGGCCTCTCCACATGTGCGCTGCAGGGACTCTATGCAAAAGATGACACAAAAAGGTTTCACCCATGTTTTTGTCCTCCTTTCTTTTCACTGTCTCTTTACAAGATTTCAAATATCTGTAAAAGTGACCGCTTCTTTTCTTTAAAAGGTTAGATTTAAATAAAAATGTTTATAAAACAAAGCAATAAGATGATTAATTACAAGTGGGCTACAACACACTAAGGAAAAGTAAGGACAGTCGTAGTAGGAGTTTCATTGTGTGACGCACAAACAGTGAAGGTGGAGGATAGTAAGTAATGTTGAGTGAAAGGATGGGGGCTCAGATCCCTCTCTGATGTTCTTTCTGAACTCTGACCCCTACCTGGACCACGAGGAAGAGAAGAAAGCGATGCAGTCCAGCTCCTGTCCAGCCATTAAGGGCAGAGACAGGACACATCATAATCGAGGGCGAAGAGGAGAAAAACGAGGGCAAAAGAAACAAGGTTGCATCAAGTGGAGGTCAAAGCGACGGCTTCACCAGAGGCGCAGTTCAAGGATGTCCTCACGAATAAGCTTGTCGGATTGAAAGAAACTGAATGCAAACTCACACGTGAGTCTATTTCCTCTTGTTAAATGTGTCGCTTTCTTTCCCCTTGACGTCTCCGCAGGCACTTCTTGTTCAAGACGTCATCAGGGACCACCCCGCTCTTCAGCAGCTCCTCCCCCGGATACCCGCTGACGTCGGGGACGGTGTACTCTCCGCCGCCTCGCCTGCTGCCCAGGAACACCTTCTCTCGCTCAGCCTTCAAGCTGAAGAAGCCGTCCAAATACTGCAGCTGGAAATGCGCGGCGGTCACAGCGATCGCAGCTGCCGCCCTGCTGGCCATCTTACTGTCCTACTTCATTGGTGAGTGGCAACTTCAGCACTGAACGTGTAAAAGAAATTCATCTCAATTGCGTTTTTATAGCAGTAGCCTAATCTGACTTACACATTAAAATAGAAAATTGACTTTAGTTTGAGAACATTTATTCAATGACAAAAGCTATCTTGCATTATTTAATAAGTGTTTTGAACAAAATCAATGGTGCTACTTAATTATTGGCAAGACCTACTTTGTTCAACTTCCATCTGCCAATTGTACAGCATTTAGGTTTACATACTGTAGCTGAATTTCCATCACAAATGTGCGCAAGACTTTGTTCATATTCCTCTAATGTCAAAAGAAGACAATTTTGCAATTACCGTGTTTCCATTAAATAGGAAACACAATTAAAATCACATGGGAATAAGTTGATAAGTCGTTAAAAAAAATCAATCATCATCCAACCACTTCCTGTTGTCTTCTTTGTCTTTTCTTCCTGTAGTAACATCCGGTTGTTGATCACGTGACTCGTGTTGGGGAAAAAAAAGTGTTTCCATTTTCACTTTTGCAAAGTAAACTATTTTCTATAAAACCGAAAAACCATTTCATCCTAGCGCCAAAATCTTTTAGCAGAATAACTGAGTTTTTACAAAATTGGCGCGTTTACATTAAGCAAATTTATTTCTGTAATTCCAATTTCCACAATCTTATGATCAGTGGAAACCCATCTTAGAACAGTTGCCCCAGATCTTCTGGCACGGTGGGTCTTCATCTCTCTGAAAGACCCAATAATGTCCCATTTTCAGTTTTTTCCACCTGATATTAATGTGAAATGTCATTGTTTCATAAAAAGTCCATTATGCCACTCACTTTAACAAGGTTCTCTGAGCCTTTAAAGAAAGAAACTTTCCTACAGCATCACAGATCCTTTACCATACTTCACAGTGGCTACAACATATTGTTTTCATGATGAAATTCATCATGTGTATTTACTAAAAAGCTAAGTTTTTATCACATCTGACCAAAGCTACTGTTCTAGTTAAACTCTCAGCAGAGTTCAGCAAAACGTATGTATTCATGTTTGTGAATGTAGGACCAAAAGAAAAAAAAAAATTGTTTTCTGGCAAACCTCCCAAACAACCAGTTGGTGCGTGGATAACACAAAGCAGTTGTTTTAAGGATCAGGTTATCCAAGTATAGCACTTTTTTTCTTTTTTTTTTTTGCGGTTCGCTGACAATTGCTAATTTTTTCACCTCCCTCACCATTCTGCTCACTCTGCGTGGTGACAAGATAAACATGGGTCCGCTTCCAGCTTTGTTTGTCACAGTTCCAGTTTTTCAAAACTTTTGAACGTTTTGCTCCGACTGCAGATCTGAGCGAGTTTAATCGCAGAGCGACTTTCTTCGTGCCGTTCAGAACGTCTGCGTTTAACTGGATGGCGTATTTTCTTGTCTTACCCATTTTGAAGAGCAGCTAACAGAAGCTCAAGTTTGAGTCGCGTGATATTTATTCATTTATTATTTATTTTCTTTTAAACTAATATTTCTTAGCATGTTGATTTTTCTCTTCTGGATAAATTACACAGGTCAACAGCCAAACAAAAACGTCTGGGGATTTTCGGCTGTTTCAGGGTCATTTTGATGAGCTGAATCCAAAAATCACATTGGTTTTGCTCAATCAGGTCAACTTTCTGAGCTATGGATGCAACAATGAGCATCAAAATGTGTCGCTTGTTCTCACATCTGGATCGGTTTCCTGAGAATCTGGATCAGTGAGTAAAGAGCAGGAGGAGAGACTCCATCAGGACAGAAAAGAGGCGGAGATGTAATGTTCAATTCACGTGTTCTTACCCTTATCAGTGTTTCTTACTCAATTTACAGAAATCCAAGTTTGTAACATTTAGTTAATAAACGCTGTTAGAGGACAATGTTTTTTCTCCTAAAACCTTTTTTGGATCAGAAATATTAACAGAAATGGCACAAAAATGGGATTTTTCTAAATCAAATTGGAATAAAAACCTCAACAGATTGAGAAAAATGGATGTCATTTTTGCAAAATAGTCCTAATTCAGTTGAAAAAAAAAAACTTCCAAAAAATACTATTTTGCAACCCAGTGTAAACTTAAAGAAAAAAATTGGCTTAAAAAAAAAAAAAAGTGTGAGATTGCCCTGCGGCAATAAAACAATAAAAAAGCGACTTTATTTTAAGGCTTTTTACACACCAGTTGTGCCGGTAACCGGATGGTGCTGAATACAAATGACCAGCATGCTGCAAAAGTGAAAGAATCCAGCCTCTGTCACACATGAACACCTCTTTTATTTCAAGTTCTTCAGTCCAGCTTGTGTTGTGCTAACCTACAATCCTTCAGCTTTTGCTTTTATTTTTTTCCTCCCTCCCACGCCGGAAAAAGAGAAGAAGAGAAAAAAAAAGTGTCAAGTTAACGGCCCGCTACAAACACCAAGCAGAGTCAGGGGCGTGTGAGCTTTTGTCGCTTTAGCTTTGTTGCGCCGCTCTGTCAAAATCGGCCTCAACAGATGCCTCGGCCTCCGCTCAGTCCTGGTAAACAGCCACTGAGACAAACACACACACACACACACACACACACACACACACACACCGCAGAAATAACCAAGACTGTTTGTCTGAGCAGGTATCAGTCTAAGTGGGGATCCTAACAGACCCAGCAGGAACCTGGATGTTTTTCACTGATCTGAAGCCAGCGTGCGATACTTGAAGGAATGGCAGACACTCAGAGCGCATCAGGAAGAAAATCTGATGCCTGTCTACCGCTGGATCCGCAGGAAGAAAGAAAAGTGTTGCTCAGTGTGGGTGTGTGTGTGTGCGTGCGTGTGTGTGTGTGTGGGAGTATGCGTGGGCATGGATTTATTTATTTTTTTGACCTCCTTCACTGGCCGAGAGAATGCAGACCTGTGCTGTTTATCCGTCGGTGTGAGAGACAGAGGGAGGCAAAAAAAGGAGGATTTGAAAATAGAAGGACGTCTTTATGTGTGTCTATTTTAGAATGCGTGTGTGTGTGAGGAGGTGTGTGTGAAAGGAGGCAGATGTGCCACCGAGCCCCTGATTGGCCTCTTACCCCAGAGACCAGAGTCAACAGATGGGTGGATCTTAGGAATCAGAGACATCAGCAGAAAGAGAGAACCCCTCCCTGACTCCACATTAATTATTAATATAATTTTACATTATTTATACCTATAGCGTACCTTTTTTTTTGTTACTCTACAATTTGCCTGTCATAATGTAGCACGTTGCAAAAGTATTCATATCCCATATTCATATTGCGGCCATCGAATTCGATATGTGTCGTTTCTGATTTATGCGACGCTTGGTGCTGAAGTAGTTCATTGTCCTTCCTTTTTACAATTATGCACCACTTTGTGTTGGTCTTTTGTTGGCAATTTTAAAAAAGAAATAAAGAAATGTCCAGTCCAAGACTCGATGGACTGCCTCAAAACTAGACAGGCTTTTCCAAGACGGGTTTATTTTGGCCCCAAGCCGACTGCCAGTCTACAACATCTAGTCGCAAAACCAGAATGCTAATCCCAAATTAGGACTGCCTTACAGTCCTTTACTGTTTTATGAAAGATCTCTGCAGAGGGAGGAGTCATGCACAACAGTCCTTGCAAAACATTTCTCATTTATTTACATGAATTACGTACATATAGCGCGGCACCCAGTCCCACCCTTTCCCAAACGGGGGATTAGTGTACAGTCTAGCGGCTAATCGCAAATTGTTGTGTCTTTGGAGATTTGGTGCAGCGTCACATAGGAGAGTCACTTTCTATTGATTTTCTAACATCAAAGACTTTGAGCTGACCTCATGTGGACTGGAAGACGATGGGCGTCTGCAGCATTACCATTTGGCTGTGGGGTGTGAATACAACAAAGCAACGTTCTCTAATTCTCCAGATCCCCCCTCCCAAAATACAAAACGCCTTAAAATTAGTGAATGAAACATGACAAAATGTGGAAAAGTTTAAGAATAATGAATACTGTGAGTTAAACACACACACACACACACACACACACGTATATGCAGGTTTGCGCACAGACTCGTCCACTTTTGCGAGTGTTTGTGTGGCCCCTCGGAGTGCCCTTGAGAGCGGTGTGCCTCCTCCAAGGCAGATCAAGGCCCCTGGCCTGGGGCACGCTCACACACACACACACACACACATCCATCCCCCTCTGATTTCTGCCCGGTCACACCGCACTGGACAGACACGTACAGAGCCACACAACCGCCGCTGGGATGGTGAAGGAAACCCACAGATACCCCAGGCCAGACGAATATTTCACTTCTCTGGAAGTGCACAGTATATTTGCTAATAACGACAAATGGTTTGTTTCATCAAAACATATAATTCTAATTATTAAACGTAGAGTTAATTAGAGAAATAATATGTAGTGTGTCTGTTTCAAAGACTAATTGCTGCCTTTGTTTTATTTAATTTTTTTTCTTCTTTCCCAACATTGCATAAGGGTTTGTGTGCATGCCAGAGAAACCCTTTTAACAGCAGTGCCTGTCTGTCTTAATAATTAGTAGTATTAGCTTGTCAGCCAAGCCAAGAGATTACTTTATTATTAGGTGTATTTATAGCACAAACAAGACGGCTAACAGACTATCTAAATACAGTACACTGTTGCATTTTTAATAGGATCGAGCGCGTCCGATAGTTTCTGTGCATTCTCGCTCGTGTTATCTGCCGGAGATCTGTGCTTTACCAACAAACCTAATTGTCCACCTGGATACAATTCAGTAGGCAGAACAAGGCTGGAACAAGAAGGTTTTGTTTTATTTTATTTCTTCTTTTTTTTTTTTTTTTTTACTTTTGCTCTGTTGCTAACTGTAAGGTCCCCGTTCAACTGTAGGGAAATGTTTTGCTCGGGTGTTTTGTCTGTGCCGAACAGAGCGGTAGCGGTGCTGCCAAGCCTGAAACCCTTGTGTTTACCTTGCTTTTTGTAGCGTTAATCGTGCAGCGAGTTCACTACTCATAACAGGGAGTGGGGGGTACGGGAGGGGTTTCT